GCGCTATACCCCAAGCTAAAACATGCAGCACTTTGGAAAGCTTGCTCCTTGCGTCTCCCCCCACAAACAAGAACCATGTGGATGTAGTGGTTAGAGCACATGCCTTTGTCAGGACCCTGGGTTCTCTTCCTCAGCCACTGACTCTCTTGTGGGATCTTTTCAAGATCTAAGTCCATGTTTGGAAGTGGTAAGAGGCTCATTGGTTTTGTACTGGCCCCCAGTGCACGGGTGAATTTGATCCTGTGAGATGTGGGGCAGGCCATGCAACAAATGCTGCCTTATGCTGTGAAATGAGTGCAAAGAGCTTGATCTAGCCAACAGGGGCTTACAGAGGTAGTACAGGCATAGGAAATGCTCATGTCACTAAAATACATTGCCTTTTGGCCCTTTGTCTTTGGCATAGTTAAGAATCCCAACTTGCTTGGTTACAGGGGCTGCCCGGGGCTCTCCCGGATGGTGGTGGAGACCTTCAGGTAGGCTTTTGTTTTTGTTTCATCAATGTTTTCACTCTCTTCTCTTGCACACCATTTTAAATGTCTGTATTTGGGGCCAACTTACGCATGTGCAAGGGCCCAAACCTGCAAACACCAGCAAGACCAACCCTGCCTACCAGAGGGACCTCATTCAAAGCCTGGGGTCCTTGAGATGAATAAAGACACCCACATGCATCAGCGTGCTTGCTAGCACCTTCTTTTGAGGATGCAGAAACGTTACTGCTGGTGCAAGGTGCTCTGTGTCATTTCCTCAGAGATGTTCTTTGCTCCCCTAGTGTCGATTTTTGCATATGCTTCCTTGCACACCGGTGTAACAAATACAGATTTGGCATGTGGCAGCTATGACAGGTTTTCCTGCCAAACTGCGCTGCAAAACTGAAAAGGGTGAGCTCTGCTCTGCTGTTTATTTTCTTGGGTGGCAGCACCTTGCTCCCCTGGGCTTTGTTTGCTCTTTCCATTTTGAGAAAATGTCTTGATTTCTTTATGCCAACAGAACGGCGCAGGCATTAAAGTAAAGAGCGCTGTTGAGTGACATTTTCAGGATTTCACAGCTGTTGTTATGACAGCTGCTTTGGTTTCCTAATTGGAGTATTCAAAAAATACTTGTAGTTTGTTTGTGCTGCCTTGTGGAACAGTCGTGTGCGATACAATGGAAAACGATAACATTTTGGTCATTTGTACTTAGGACAGCCCGTCAAATTTAGTAGAAAATTAAGTCCTTTCTACGGAATGATATTCAGAGATTAAAAAAAAAAATACAGGGAGGACTGCATTCATTGATGCATAGAGATTTTTAGAGGAGCAGCCGTAGAGCCCTGTTAAATCCTATGCAACTTTTGACTTCTTCACTATTACATTTCCTAATTCCAGTGGGGATGCACAATGCCAGAACTTGCTGTTGGTTTGCTTCATGTTTAGCTAAGTCTCCCATCCATGCTGAGCTCGGTTGTCTCACGTTTTGCTTCCAAGAACCTGAGGCGATCTGCTAAATTCAGACTTGAGAAAATACTCTCTTGGTGCTAGGAAGCGAGGAAGTCACAGGCAATTCTTCTTTTTTGTTGCAAACATCTTGGCTAATGTAGGCCAAAACTGCATTGTAGCACCTTGCAGTACAAACCTGGTGCCCAGAAATTAGAACCAGTCTGGATCCTTTTAAAATTGGGATGACAAATCGTTAGATGAGGTTTTTTTTGTCATGGACATGTCACCCCTTTTCCCCTCAATAGCAATGTACCTACCTTGCTGCAAACCTCTATTTGTTGTACTGAATAAACCAAAAACTTTTGTTTTGTGCAGTGCCCAGCTCTGTGTCCCCCAGGGCCTCCCGGTCCCCCAGGGATGCCAGGATTCAAGGTAAGAGCAATATTCTCAGCAGGTGCAAGGAGCTCAGTCCAGACGTGTAACACAGACTGACATCAAGGTGCAGGCTCACACAACACTGCATGAACTACCATTCTCCTTTATCCAGACCAGTAGGGTGTAGGTGTAGGAGTATATTATTTGTCCCTACATTGCCATTGACAGTCACTTGAAAGAGGCAATGAAGGCTACATGCCCTAATCCCGCTCTCTGTGTCTGGGATTCCCCATTAGCCTCCATGGAAGATCCATGGCCTCATGCTTCATCCTGCAAGATGTCCCTGTCCAGCATCACTAGGAAGGTTTTTATGCTTAAAGTTCAAGCACATGCCTAAGTCCTGGGATGCTCATGCCATTTAATGATTGACTTGCACTAAGTGCAAGTTGCCCCTGTGTGCAGGGGAAGCTCAAAGACTAAGCACCACGTG